TTAGATAATTATTTATAAAAAATTATAATTTCAAGAAAATTCTTTTTTTCAGTAATTAATATATTGTGTTTATTATATTTTATAACATAAATCTGACTATGTGAAGGATAATTTTTATGGTTCGACTACTTGCAGAACATATTGTTTTTCCTCTTCATATTTTGTCAAAATCGAATTATAATCCATCATAAGCCTAATTCCTCTTTCTATACAATCATTTATCATATGAAGTCTGGCACAGAATTCAAGTGCATCTCTATAATCTTGCGTCTCCATCCATGGCGAAGGATCGAAACTGATAAAACTATTAGATAGGCAAAAACGATCCAAAAAATTTTTTATTTCTTCGGTCACGAAATCAATAAGGTTCTTTGAGGAAAATAACTTCATTAGTGGGTTCCCACTCTTTATCTAACCAGAGATAGCTGAGATCTTGGATCTATGACCGGTAACTCTACAGTCACTATCTATGCATATGGCTCAAAGATGGAAGGCGGTACGGGAGCAGGTATCTTCTCGAAAGATATGCAGATAAGACAGTGCTGCCGAATCCCTGCTACTTACAGCGTCTTTCACGGCGAGATATATGCTATCGAAAAAGAGGTCAACAGTAGACAATAAAGTACAATTCGTTCTTCGAATATCACTATTTTTGTAGATAGACCACACTGAAAGCAATTGAATCTAAATTCCAAGAGAGTATTAAAATGTCGCGATTCACTGATGAGCATCAAACACCATAAGGTCTCTCTTTGCTGGACATAGTACATTTCGAATACTTGGACATAGCAATATTGAAGGGAATGAACTAGCAGATGAGATGGCCATAAGAGGTGCTGAACTGCATACCTGAGAGGCCGACCTCTCAATACATACACCGATATGTAAACTGTATAGGATAATAGAGGAAATCAATAAGGTGACTAACAATTTATAAACTAACCGCGAAGACTGTAAGGCCGCTAGAATCTTATGGCCTAAGTTGGACAAAAATAAAACGAAAAGCATTTTAGGCTTCAGCAAACCTGCAGTTCGTGTGCTTTCTGAAGTACTAAAGGGGCACTGTGCCATTGCGCCGATCCTCCAACGGTGGCGAATTCCAACAAGTGGATTATGCAGGAGTTGCCAAGATGAAGAGAACGTAAAATCTATCAACCACTTCCTGCGTCTCTGTCAAGGACTTCAAACAAGGCTACTTTAACGTCTTGGGGAACCTTATTTTACTGGCTTGGAAGAGATAACGAAAGCAAACTTATCGGATCTCCTCAACTTCATCTGGAAAACCAAATGGTTTAACAAGGATAACAAAAATTAGCAACTCGCATCTCCTGGTAAAATTTTTTGAGGGCATCCCAATGGGCAATATATGTCTCCGAGTAGAAATGCTGACAACTGTCAGCACGTACCTTCCGAACATAACCTAACCAAGTGTGAATTAAAATTTTCACACATATGCTCCCATAAAAATGTATATATCTCGTACAAATCATCCGAGTTATATGTAAATTGATCTCTTAAAATAAACATTTTCAGTAAGTACATGATTTTCGCCACCCATCGAGAATCTTAGATGGCACCTGGGCGCCACAGGTAACCAACCAACTACTACAAAATATGTATAGCGTAGCGATCCGAAACCTTGCATTTGTCAAGGGCGGAAACTAAACTAGGAGTGATAAATTGAATCGTTCTGTCTGCGTTATCCCAATTTTGTTGAACTGTGACTAAAGATTCAGCTTCCATTTTGAGACAAATTTCTTCATCGAATTTATTCCAATTAAAATCAATGGAATTTTTAGCCGCTCTTGCTTCGTTTGCTAAAAGGATATTAACTTCAGTCATACTCCCTGTACGACCATTTTCTCTTTGCTTACGAAAAAATTCTTGTTTTGACTACATTTTCAATTCTACTTAAATATCTATATAAATTATTAAGTAGAAATGTATTATTTTTATTTTTTATTTATGTTTCTTCCGTTTCTTGTAAACATTTGCGATTGCATTGTGCATGCCAGCTAAAAGCTATGAAATAGAAAACAGAGCACAGTCGCTCAACTAATTATTGTGTTTTGCGCATAATTTTTAACCGATTTTGCTCATCAGTATCTTATTAAAAAGATATTTTAATTATCTATCAAATGAGTATATACTAATAACTGTTGAAACAAGTAACAAAGATAAAAAATGACCTTGAATTGAAAAATTTCTGTTTTTTGTACTGAAAACCCAACTTTGCTCGAGTGGCGCAACGTCATTTTTAATCCTATTGTTCCAAAACTTTGGGAATATCATTTTTAAGGTCAATGGCATATTCCTAGGGGGTGCGCTCATTAAAAATCGCATTTTAGTTTTTCTGAGCCACCCTACTGTTGCAAATACAATATTTTTGAAATATTTATTCAATTTACCTACATATTAAGCTTTAAAAATCGAAAAATATGAAGAAAATCGACACCTGACAATTTCGTTTTCAGTCTCGGCTTGTCAGGCATTTTTCATCGAAAAGAAACTTTGGACTTTGTTTAAACGACAGTCTCATATACCTACATATCGCCACCTGTTATGACCATATTAAGAAATCCGTTATTGCCATTTAGAAAACTTATCTATTGCATGGCTGCTTCAATGCCAATACTTTGAGCTATACGATTTTTGTTATAAATATAGCATCTTTCCCAGACAACCAAGCTAAATCAAAATTCTGATATATGTTACAGCTATTTTTATATAGTTTGGGAATGACAGATTTATCCCAATGAGTGGGCTAGGTTTGCCAATGTCTAACACAAATGGATTTCTAGACGTGGAGATAACCCAAACAACTGTAAAATAGACGAAGCAAGCGCACTGTTCTCCGATATTCAATTCTTGGATATTGGTATCAATCTTATCATAGGTAAATTAGCAATTTAACATACATACGTGGAATTAGCAATGCAATTTTGGGTGAATAAAGATCAATGTCAGTTCACAAGACTCATAAGACCAGTCAGCTTCCACTAAAACGAACCTAACATAATTTAACGGCATCGGTGCTAAATAGCATATGCATATTAGAAAGCCGTAGAAAGAATAGGTCTAACAATAGACTTTGGGGGTGTAGTTAATGAAAAGGAACACATTCTATTTATCTACAAATTCTATCTGAGTAGATATGATTATCTTGTATTAAATTCTTAAAATCTTGTATAATAATTCTTCAATGTGTAATTTTTAAATATCACAACCAAACACTATCTTTTTGAAAAGATGTATGTACTGGATATGAACGAATGTTTTTAGGATTGCTTTTCATAAAATACATTTATAGATAAAAGAAACCTATGATTAAAAAGTAAACACATGTCCTTATTTAAAAAAATAAAAACATGCCCATGTATAGAAATTTTCTATATTCAAAAATATATAGATTTAAATTATACGTGTTTAAATAAGTAGAACTATACTCTTATTTTAATTTATAATACCAGTTAGTATCTATGATATTTTGTTAGTACAACTCACTGTTTACTTTTTGCACACACATCAAATTACTTGCAATAGAATTGTGCATGAGGACGAACATGAATTGCATTCATACGAAAACGAATTGCTATAGAAATGCCTAGATTACTCCACTTGCATTTCCATTCATTATTTGCACTTTCCCCCAGCAAAACAACATCAAGGATAAAGTTTCAGTTCAAGGAAGTCGTTAGTTGTCATTATACAAAAACTACTTTTCTATGGTTATGTGGGCATGTGAGAATTTATTTGTTTACAAGTGCGAAAAATTATTTAATGACTTCTTGTAGTTTTGTTTATATTTAACCACAAATGATTTATGTATATTAAATGCTGTAAAATATTTTACATGACTGCTAAAATTTAAGAAATCTGCAATCGACAAAATTGAAATACTAAATTATCTAAATGTGCAGACAACTGCACATTTTACTTCACAATGTTAAAGGAATGAAAAACAGATGAGCTGTGATGTGATATGATGATGACGTCGGTACTAGAAATCAATGTAATGCTTACCTACCGCAAATCGATATAAATTTTATCATTTTTAATTTTTTTTTTTTTGTTTTTTTGTGCTTATTCTTTATCCATTTCTGATTTCAAGTAGCACTTTATATTGCATTCTCAAATAAAACAGATAGCAGCCAAACGCTGATTTATAGTAACAGCTCACAAAATTTATAAGTTGCAACTATGCAAATTTTCGCAAATTATTTAATTTTTTGTTATTTTCCATTCCTTATCGAACATAATTTTACTTTTATATTTTCTCAACTGATTTTCTCTTGTGCAGCAATTTTATTTGAATATGATACATCAGCAGCATTTCGCCCGG